CCATGTGCTAGGAGTGGAGTGTAGCACTCGCGGCTTGTGAACTTCTCTGGGGAGGTGCCTTCCTCACCTGCTCACTGGCACTATCACCCCTGCTGGGTGCCAGGCCTCTGGCTCAAGCACCAAGCAAGGAACCAGAGTAATTCAGGGTGTTCTTCTAGGTAGCCGTCAAGGCGCTGCCTTTATCATATTTTTATCCTAAAAATATGAAATGTGAGGTGTGTGGAAAGCACAGGGCAGATCCTGGGCTCGAACCTTTGTAAGGCTGAGAATTAACTGTAACTCTGGGTCACTTCTAAGTATCCAAATCTGTAAAATAAGGAGTTGGAGAAGATCATCTCTCACTTCCTCCTCCCTATTTAAAACATGAGAATCTTGGTTGTATGAGACAATAGCATCACCCGCCTGACTAAGCCCTGCCATTACACGCCAAGGAGTAGGCCCCAACGAGACCGTCAGATATGACCTACGCGCTTTGTTCCCAACAAACAAAATCTTTCTAAAAGAGACTGGCCTGTTACTGCTCCCACGTGCTCTTTCTGCTTCTTGTGGGAACATTTTGAGTATTTCTTAATTAAACATTTGATTTTAAGGTAATTATAGATTCAGATGCTGCTGTGAGAAACTCTATAGAGCCCCAACCCTCCCTCCAGTTTTATCAGTGGCTCATCTTACAGAACTGTGCCCTTTCAAGATCCAGAACATTCCTATCACACTGGATCCCTCCTCCCTTGTCCCTTTCTTAACCCCTGGCCACCTTTAATCTGACTTGTTGCCATATTTTGCCATTTCAAGAGTGTTATACAAGTGGATTCATAAAGCATGTCACCGTTGGGGACTGGAGGTTTTCACTCAGCTTAATTCAGTGGAAACTTTTGCAGGTGGGGGTGGTGGGGAGAGTACATGTTTTTTCACTGCTGCATAGTATTCCATGGTAAGGATGTGCCACAGTTTGAGCCATTCACTTATTGAAGGACATCTAGGCAGTCTCTCATCATTAGCCTTGTGAATAAAGATGCTATAAATAGTTCAGGTTTTTATGTCAACGTGGGTCCTGCATACAATGCCCCACTACTAGCTACTTTCCTACTTACTCACAGTGATGAACACAATTCAACGATGTTCCAGTGTCTGATAACTGCAGAAATCCAATAGGGGTAAATTACACGCAACTTACAATCTTGGGGAAGCAAGACTGAAATACTGAAATAACAAGACAGGGCTGCATCTCATCAAATACCAGAGCGAATTGGCCCTTAAAGGAATCCAGGAGCAGAGAGAGGAGTGAAGGCTCCGTGCCTGGGGAAGATGCTCTGGATAAGGCAGATGCGGGCTCTGTCTTAAGTGCTGAACAGTGATGATTATCTCACAGTCACTAAGGGCTTGCTGTGTGCCCGGCGCGGTGCTATCTTCACCTATGGTAACTCGCTTCACCTTCATCACTGCCCTTCGGGGCAGCCACTCTTATCATTTGACAGAGGAAACAGAGAGGGTAATAACTTGCCCCATCATCACACAGCAACCCACTCTGGCCTCGGCCCACTCTCTTAGTCACTACACAATCTGTCTGTCTGTCCAGCAATCCACAATCTATCTGTCTGACCACCATTAATAGTGGTCACAATTAAAGTCCAATCTAGGGCCTCCCCTGGTGGCACAGCGGTTGAGCACTGGGCTGCGAGGCTGCCTGCAGCCTCTGCAGTGTCGGTTTGTTCCCCCGCTGCCAGCGAGGATTCCACAAAAAAAAAAAAAAAAAAAAAAAAAAAAAAAAAAAATTCCAATCTCGCTCCTGGGTAGTGTTTTCAGAGAGTTATCCTGAATCCAAAGAATGAAGCTCTCATGGGTCAAGGTTCTTTTTCTTTTTATCTTTTTTAAAGATTTATTTATTTATGCATACAAGAGCTGGGGTGTAGGTCAGAGGTGTTGTGGGGCAGGGGGCGGTGAGAGGATTCACCAGAGACAGAGTAGGGAACAGAACAGGCAGACTGACTGAAATCCACTGTTGAAGGGAGCAGCAGGGAGATAGGAGAGGTCTGCTGCGCCATGTGGGTAGCTCCCTGGCCGGCGATGGAACTCATGCTACAGTGGCTGCAGACAGCTTCATAGGTTGCGTCTTAACCCCTTGTGCCATCAGGGAGGCATTCAAGTTTCTTTTTCTTAAAAAAAAAATTATTTATGCATACAAGAACTGGGGTACGGACCAGGGGGTGCAGGGGGTGAGAGGATTCACCAGAGACAGAATGGGGAGCAGAGCAGGTGGATTTACTGAAATACACTGCTCAGGGGACCAGCAGGGAGACAGGAAAAGTCTGCTGTGCCATGTGGGTAGCTTCCTGTCCAGGGATCGAACGTAGGCCACAGTGGTGATAGTGTGATAGTGCTAAGACTTAACCCCTAGGCCACCATGGAGGCCAGGGTCAGGGTTCTTGATGAGAAATTGGAGTGCAGTCTGGGTGGGAAGGAATGCGCCAGCCTGGGTGTGTGTGTGTGTGTGTGTGTGTGTGTCTGCACAGCTGGGCTGATCCCTCTTACCTGTGTAAGCAGCAAGCAAGAGGCCAATGCTCCCAGCTTTACACACACTGGAAAGTGCCCAGGGCCGGCCCAGCCTGTTTCAGATGAGGAGGGCGGCTCTGTGCTCCCTGAATTGCTCTCTTCCCAGGAAGCCGCGCCCACGCTCAGCCATTTGCCTTATTGCTAAACATGAGAGGCACCTCAGCCGGCACGTGGACAGCTGCCTGCCCCTCGAGCATCACCATTTCGGTTTCAACAGCTGCAACGTGGCCAGGGTGCTTGCTGTCTGGAAGCCTTGCTGCGGCGCTGGCAGCGGGTGGGCTGGGAGGGCAAAAGCTGGCTGGACACAGCTCTCCTGACCCTCCTCTGGGCTCCCGCTCCCCTGCCATCTGGGAGCCACCCCCCTCCCCAGGCCCCCTGCAGACAATGAGCCACTGTCACCCTCTCTCCCTGGAGGGGCAGGCTGGAGAGGGCTGCAGTCCTGCGCCCATGGTGCTTTGACAGGGAATGAAACCCCCAGGGACCATGTTTTCCAACAAACTTCAGGGAAGAAACCAACTTTGGAAGAGGCTGCAGTAGGAAGCCTTCTCCGCTCAGGAGGAAAAGAAAGCTGTTATTGTTTTTGCTCCCCCGAGACATGTTTTTGAAATCTGCTGCTGTTCTCTCCTTGCCTGGCTGCTCTAAACATGTGATAACACTGGTGGCAGATAGGCAGCGTGCCCGGGCGGCGGAGGCCTCGGGCACAGGAGGTGTGGCCTTGGCGCTGGGTCCACACAGATCAGCAGCGTGTCTGGGTCACCCCGGCCATCACCATGAAAGCAGAAGGGCTGCTGCCCCTTGGGGAAGCCACACTTGAGTAGCCGGGGCTGTATCAAATAGGTGCCTGCAGCTGTGGAACACCTGCTGCTCTGGGTGAGAAATCTTGACAGTCCTAGAAACTTCCCCAACAGGGGAGACTGAGTGTCTCTGTGGGAGGCTCCTTCCACAAGGCCTCAATCTCTTGCTGCAAACAACTGGCCCCGACACACAGAACAGATGCTTTCCAAATGGATGGCGGCAAGTCCTTGCAGTCAGCATAGCTGCAGCAACTGGCCTGAGACTTTAAAGAACGTCAGTTCTCACCCCCTTCTTTGTTGTCGCAAATCAGAATGCAGAGCAGAGTAGCAGGTGACGTTATGTGCACTTCCTGGCTGGCTAAAACGCCCACACTCAGGCTGCAGCCACCCCACACATGGCAGGAGACGGGGCACCCACAGCCCGGCCTCTGGGGTGCTGAAAAGGTCCTGGCTCGCCCTGCGCCGGTGGGATTCGTTCACCAGGTCTAGCAATCAAGGCTGTTTCATCATCCAAACTGAAATGTGTACTGGGTCACTGGCGCATCCGGGCAGAGTGGCTGGGCCCCAAATTATCAGTTTATAAACTGTAAGATGGCCTGAAACCACACACACACACACACACACACACAATAACAGCCAGAAGACACTTCACAAGATTGGAGAGCTTCCGGGCGCTGCCCACGGCCAGGGGCGCTGGATGGCCCAGCTCATGGCCACAGTTACTGCTGCAGCCAAACGCAGGAGACACTGCCCCTTACCCGCCCACTCCCGAGATCCCGGGTCAGAGCCCTCCTGGAAGCACTCACCCTCTGTCAACCCCTGCTTCCTTTGCAGTCTTCCAGGCCTGCCCCTCCCCACCTGTGTCGCTCCAGGGATGCTTCTCTCTGGTCTTCTTTCCCGCTCTCCCTGCCCAAGTCTCTTTTCTCATGAGGTCCAGACCTCTGGAGGCAACCATCTGAACATTCCCACCCCCCCCCCCCGCATTTCAGATAGAACCTGATGATTTCGATGCTCCTCGAAATCCAGTCCCCCAGCGGTGCCCCTCTCGTGTATTCCACCAGTAGAGCCAGAAATGCAGGGACAACCCCGACCCCTGCCTCCTCCGCAGCCCCTCCCCATGTCGGGTCAGTCACCAGATGCCGTCAACCTACCTTCAAAATCTGGAGCACGCCTGCACTGCGCCCGGCACCGCACCCCACCGGACACATGAAGGAGCCCCTCCTCCAAGTCTCCTGACCGGCCTCCCCGAGGGCGCGGCCCCTCCAGCTCCTCCTCGACAGCCCTGCCCGGATCATCTCTCACACTTCCCTTCGCTCCGGCGGAGGATGAATCCTCAGGCCCTCAGCGATGCGTCTGCGTTTCTAAGAGAGGAGCTGGGGTTCCTGGGGGGACGCTCTGGACCCTGCTCTGTCCAGCTTCCCCTTCCTGGAACAGCCTCCGTCTTCTGCTCTTGGCCTTTCTCTCAACGCTCCGCTCAGGCCTTCTCACCTTCCCAGGGGCTTGCTGAGGGTCTCGTGCTCAGAGCCCCTCCCTACCCCCCCCCAGCCCAGCGACCTCTGGCTTTACCCCCATGGTCAGACCTGGAGGTCCGTGGGAGCCGAAGGGGCTCGCTCCTCTCCGTACCCCCACCCCGCCGAGCTCAGCGCGTGGCCTCACCTCCTGCGGCATCCGTGGTCCACGCCGCGGGCGCCGAGCAGGGTGGGGTGTCTGATGCCCTGCACTCTGCTGTGTCTCCTTTACTCGAGAACTGCTTGTGAATTCGATTCAAAATGAAGCGCAGCGCCGGGCATATTCCGCAGCACCGAGCGGAAAAATGAATCCGTAGGACTAAAAGCTGGAGGTGCAGAGCCCGGGAGGTGCTTAAAAAATAAAACTGGAGGCCCTCCCTGGTGGTGTAGGTGATTAAGTCTCCGCACTCTGAAGCTGTCCGCAGCCTCTGCAGCACGAGTTCGATCTCCAGCCAGCCAAGGATCTACCCACACGGCGCAGCAGACCTCTCCTGCCTGCCCGCTGCGCCCCTCAGCAGTGGACTTCAGTCGGTCCACCTGCTCTGCTCCCCGCTCTGGCTCCGGTGAATCCTCTCACCCCGCACCTCTGGCCTGCTCTTGTATGTATAAATAAATAAATCTTTGATAAACAAATAAACACATGATAAAACTGGGCAGCAGACACCCCCGGCGGCCCTGAGCGGTGGCGGCAGGCGGGCGCGGGCTATCGGCCCCCTTGTGTCCGACGGGGCCTCCTCCTGGGGCCACGCGGCACCTGCGGGGAGGGGGGCCGGGAGGGGGGCCGGGAGGGGCCCCGCTGTCCCGGGTGAGTCCCGGCGGGCGGACCTCTCCCTCCCGGCCAGCCCGGCCACCCCGTCCCCAGAAGCGGCCTTGTACTCACGCCCTTCCCTCCCTCACCCCCCCCGCCCCCCGCCCTAGAGCTGGGGGAGGCGCCAGCCCCGCGGCAGGCCCGGGGTCCCCGGCGTGGGGGGAGAAGGGTCCGCTGAGGCCTGTTCCCAGCACAGCCCTCCGAAGCCGTGTGTGTGGTTTGGTTGCAATGAACACCCCCCTTTTTGCGGGGGGATCTGGCTTCCTTCCGTTTCTTCAAGTCGACCAGTGTCGCCGACGCGGCGCGCGTGCGAGGCCGGCGCTGGTGCGGAGCCGGGGCCGGGCGCGGCCGGGCCGCGACCCACCCCGAGACCCGCTTCTGGACTTTGCAACCTCCGCGGCCCCGCGGCCTCCACCCTGCGGGCGTCCTGCCGGGACCGAGCCCGCCCCGGTCCGCAGCGCCGCCCGGGTGAGACCCGGCCCGGCCCGGCCCGCCCGGGCCCACGGCAACGGGCCCACGGCAACGGGCCCACGGCAACGGGCCCACGGCAACGGGCCGGGCGCGCCCCCTGCCGGCCGCGCCGGGCGCGGCGGGGCCCCGGCACGAAGCCGCGCTCGGGGCCGGGCCGACCTCGGGGGCGGCGCGTGGTTCGGCCTCCGCCGCCGGCCCCGCGCGCCCGCAGCCCGGTGGGGGGGGGGGGTGCGGGGGGGCGGGGGGGGCACCTGCTCAGACCCGGCCGGGTGCGCTGAGCCAGCGGGTTTGCAGACGAGGTCTATCCGCAGACGAGGTCTATCCGCAGATGAGGCCACCTCGCTGTTTTTTTTAAACAGTGTAAATGATTTATAAGACAATCCTGTAGTAAAAACACTTTGAAACCGGCCCACTCAAATTTGAAATCAATGAATGACATCTCATTAGGCTACACTTCGCCCAAGTGTACAGCTTAGAATTAACAAAAGGAGTTTTCTTCTGCTATAAAAGCAGGAGGAAAGAAATTAAATCCTGCGGTTTTTTTCTGCAAAGGAAAATGAACAGTTAATGTCTCCTCCCATGTCCCAGCTGCCGACAGCTCTTCCTTGGCCTGAGGCCCTGTGCAGGAAGGCAGGATCAATGGATTCCCACGAGGGTAAGATTAATTTGAAGGCACGAAATTACTAAGAGTCAAAGTTTGAAATACAAAGTAAAATTCTGACTCATCATAAAGAGTATTTATGGTGCCGGCAAAAACGCTGAGCAGTCATTCCAAGGAAAACAATAACCTCAAAGTCTTTATCTGGCTGCAAACTCGGTGATTAGCGGGAGACTGCTAAAGATAAAAACCTTCCTAAAACAACAGCTCTGCCTGCTGGCCTTTTATATTCTGTGGTCTAAGCACCTTCTCAAAAATTACTGGAATTAGCGATAGTTTGAGTTATAGAAACATCTGCTAAAAAAAAAAAACACAATACATTCAAATCTCTAGACAGTGAGGGAAAATGAATTATTTTATCACCTCTAATCAAGTCTTATCAAGCTTTATGATGACCTTAATATGCTTAATGTGACCTTAATGCTTAATGCTCAATGTGACCTTCCCTGGGATAAGGTTTAGATTCTTCCTCAGAATAAGATAAGGCTCCAGGTGAACAAAGTCCGGCAGATGCCTGGCTTTAAAGGGCTCTGACTAAGGAGTTTGGTCCTGCGTATGAAAAAAAAGCAGGACCAAAAAGAACAGCTTTCAGAAGTGAAACGTTATGGTTTATATGGTTTTCACCGAATTTTGGGGCTGCAGTCACTGTCCTTTTACTTTATAAGATATAAAAATCACATGTGCACCAACTGCGTACCCACACAGAGCCGCCGATGATTATTCACAGATACTTGATTTTTCTGGGGGACTTGCTGATTCAGCAGTGAAATTTAAAAGGTGCCTATGAAGGTAATAAAACTGACAGAGGAGTATAAAGTGCTCAAGTCTGTCCAAAAGGTGTTACAAAGACTGGAAAGAGGACATAATTTGGGGACCAAAAAGTCCGAGGACCATAATCTCAGGGTTAATGTGAGGTTCAAATAAGTCCTCATACACAAAACCCGCCAAAGAACAAATTGGGATAATTCATATACAAGACGATGTTATTTCGGGGTAAGTACTTCGGAGCAGAGGAACAGTTACAGACGCTTAAAGACCTTTAACAAGCCATCCTGAAATAGGTGTCACCTTTTGTGGGAATCACAATAGTTTTCAAAAAATCCAGGACAGGGGATGTCAGGAAGGGTGGGGATTTCCAGGGAGAATCAGAAAGAACTTGCGAGTATTGAGTGACACTTAGGACTGAGGCCCGAGCCTCACACCCCTCAAACCCCACGACAGAGTGAGGCTCTGCTATCGTAGCCAGGCTTTCCCTAAATGCCTCTTGGGGGAATTCATTTTCACCGGCGTCTCCTGCCGTCTGCCCCAGAGTGAACTAACCCAATTGACAGCACCTCATCTCTCACTTTCCCGGATGAGATGTGACCGGCGACCAGTGGGGCCTGCCTTCCTGCCTCTAAGCTGAGCCCACAAGATGTGGGAAAGGGTGATTAGCAAAACGGAGGCCACGCCCAAGCCAGATGAGTATTTATGAACCCAGCTGTCTTTTCAGATAGAGCAAAAATTCAAAAGGCATTTCTACCACTGCAATAGGAATTAGGAAAATTCTCTGGAAGGGCTGGGCATTGCCTTGTCTCCTCGTACACTATTTTTAGGGTAGTCGGGGAACCAAGTTAACCCCAGGGTTGCAGTGATGCTCTGACATTGCTGGATATGCTAAGTGCACCCCAGAGCAAGATTTCAAGGTTCTAGAGCCCGTGGGTGGAACTGTGGGTCTCAGCGCTATTTTAGCTCAGGAGTGCTGGTGGTTAAATCCCCTGTGCAACTTTTCCCATAAAACACTCACAGATTGCCCTGGCAGCTCAGGCCCTGAGACTGGGGTTCTGTGCCCACCACTCTGTCAAAATACAGCCCTGCCTTGATGCTGTCGTGGGGTGGGGGATAGGCAGTGTTCAGCTGAAGCCTGGCCTTAGGCTCCCAGCCTGGTCTGCAGTTAAGACTCACATCTAGAAAGAAGTGGGCTCAGTCTTGTAAGGTTCTTAAGGAGGCACTCAATGGTGAAATTTGTTTTTGGAGGAATGGGTGAAGACATTTTACCAAAATACAGTCAGCCTTATCTATAACCACAGGGAAGAAAAACATTTTTTAGAAGGTATGAGTCAGCATGTTTACACATATGATTATTTACTTTGGGGGTCTAATTACATTTTGTGACCCAAATCCCAGCTTCTCAGAAGTTCCTGTGTCCTTCCCACCCCTACCTCCCCATTTATGTCCACATGGGACAGTCACAAAGCAGTCAAGATTCTGTACTTTACGCGTTTGAAATACCCAAATACATTTGAGCGTAAGTGCAGATTTCTGACGACTGCTTTAAGATGCAATTTTTCGTGTTTTTATTAAAGAATTTCTAAAGACAAACCTCAAAACTCCAATACCAAATCATGTATGAGTTCGATGCTTTGGAAGAAATACTTTGAACACTGTCTTACTTCTTAAAATCACCAATATTTGGGGCCTCCCTGGTGGCACAGGGGTTAAAGTCAGCGCTACCAAGTTATCACCAACCACTGTGGTGTGAGTTTGATCTCCTGCCAGGGAGCTGACCCACATGGCCCCACAATGGCACAGCAGACCTCTCCTGTCTCCCCGCTGCTCCCCTCAGCAGTGTGTTTCAGCAGATCCACCTGTTCTGCTCCCCACTCTGTTTCTAGGGAGAATCCTCCCACCCCGCCCCCACCTCTGGCCTACACCCCTGTCTTCTATGCATAAATATAAAAATAATTAAAAAAAAAAATGACCGGTTTGGTGGGTTACCCCGAGTGGTTGTGAATCAAAGTCAGAAAATGTTCAATGTAAACAGCATGTTTCTGATTGTTTTATTAAAAACTTAAAATTTAGATTTATTGTTGAAATTTCTTTGGTTTAGATACAATTTGGTTCCCTGCCCTTGATTCTGCTTTCAAAGCCACCCCTCGTTGGTCCCTGAAAAGAGCACCCACATGCTCCCCCGAAGTGTCCTTGTTCAACCCACATTCTTATCACGCTCTACTACACAAGAACTCTACCAGAATTTCAAAAAATACAGGTTTTATACTTTTCCTGCTCATATTACTCTTAATCTCACTAACAGCTGTATTTCAGTTTAATAAAACATTGGCCAAAAACACAGTGCTGCTTCTGAAGCCACCACCACACACCAGATGGGAGACAGGCCCGCCCCTCTGCTCTCCTGCACCTTCCGATCCCCAGAACATAAGCAAATTCTCCCTCTTATTGCCAACATAAAAGCAGAATTACACAGGTTAGAGGAGACAATATACAGCTTAGGTTGTCAGGGACAAATGGCCAACTTTTTTTTTTTTTTTTAAACCACTATAACATAAGCATGAGCAGAAATTAGGTGATTTTGGAAGCCACGTGGTCTTTGCTACTGGATTAGGGCTGAGTGCAAGAGAGGCTGGACTTCTGAACCCCAGTTACGCTTCAGCATCACAGCACTGCCCATGTATTTCAGTTCATGATACACGATCCTCTGAGTTACCTGGAGTCCATGAATCTGGAACAAAAAACAATAAAGGATTCTTTAGGGAAGCGATCAATCTTGGGTTTCACAGTATAAAAGTGCCAAAGAGCAGTAACATGGACCGGGATTTAAAGAGTATGGCAGGAGGAGCCCTTGAGTAACATCTTGAAGTCAGTTCTAGGATACTGGGCTCAGGTTTCACGCTGAATGATTATCTGGAGGATTTGCTGCTGGCAGCACATGCACTAACTCCCCACTTACAAAATCGAGCCTGTTCCTGCCGACACACCTCCATAGCCTCAACAGGCCACTCACCGACAGTTTTCAAGACATGCCTAAGGTTTTTTAAAAAGCAATCTGTAGCAGTACTTAGTGTCCAGCAGAAACCACTCCGTCTGCTGAACAATATCTCGACTGCGGCGCTTCTCTTACTGTTGGTTGATAGATAAGGACACGGCACAGCCATTATCACCGTGGCAACAGCAGCCGGGACTGTCAGAGGAACATTGCACACGGGCCTGCTGGGCCTTGCGCAGCCGTGCCTCGGCTTCCTCTGGGGGGTGCTTTCTCTGCAAGTCTGGGGGTGCCCCCGGGTACCACCAACCCAGGGCGGCTCCGAGACTACAGACAAGCAGCGGGTGCCGGGCCAGGCGCCGCGGGACTCACCCCGGCCAAGCCACGGGAGCTCCTGCCGGCGCCACGCGCGAGCCTCTGCGGGCGCCGCCCCGGCTGGGAGGGCGGCGGCCGAGCGCGGCGGCGAGCGGGGAACGCGGGAGGCCCCGGAGGCCCGGGAGGCCGCCCCTCGCGCCTCCACGTGGCTCCGTACCTGCCTCTCCGCTCCCGGGGTGGCGCAGGCCGGTCCCCCGGAGGCCGCGCCCCGCGCCGCTCCGCCCCGGCCTGGGGGCTGCTCGGGCCGCGCGAGCCCGGCGACCCCGCCCAGGCCCGTCCCAGCGCCGCCCGGCGGGCCCTCCCCGGGCTCAGGCGGGCCGGGCGCTCGGCGGCAGCGCCTCCCCCGCGCCGGCCCCGCCGCAGGCCCCGCGGGCGGCCCGGCCTCTGGGGGTCGGGCCCGCGGCCCCGCCACGAAGGCCCGCCGAGGCCCGGGGCCGCTCACCCAGGCCGGGAACGGCGGCCAGGCCGGACCGCGGCCCCACCGGCGGGAGCCCGCGCCCGCCCACCGCCCACCGCGTCGCCATGACGACTCAATCGCGGCCGGAACCGGAACCTTCCCCGGAAGGGCCCAGCTCCCGGCGTGCCGCGGAGCGACGAGGCCCCGCCCCCGCCCTCCCAGTCCTCCCGGGTTTCCCAGCAGCCCCGTCCGCCCTCCGGAGGGAAGTCGTCGTGCCCTGCGCTTCGCCACTCGATGCCTCGGCGCGTCACCCTGATGGACATGACCCCCCTCCAATAAACTGACCAGGAGGTGGCCGATGCCTCCGGCGTCATGCTGACGTCCCGCTTGTCAGGGCTGCGGAGGAAGCTGACTGGTGGAGCCGAGTCATTGCGGGCCAGCGCCCCCCAATCAGGGCGAGCCGTTCGGAGCCGCCCAATGAGGGCCCTCGGGGGGCGGGCCGGGCGGCCGCGGGCCGGGCCGGGCTCTGGGCGGCGAGCCGAGGGCCCGGCCGTTGAGGGCTGCAGCCGCGGTGCGGGATGAGCGGGTCCCTGGGCCGGGCGGCGGCGGCTCTGCTGCGCCGGGGGCGCGGCGCGGGCGGCCTGCGGGCCCCGGGCGTGCGGGCGGCGGGCGCGGGCGGCGGCGCGGCGGCGCGGCTGGACGCGCTGGTCAAGAAGGACAAGGTGGTGGTCTTCCTCAAGGGCACGCCCGAGCAGCCCCAGTGCGGCTTCAGCAACGCCGTGGTGCAGATCCTGCGGCTGCACGGCGTGCGCGACTACGCGGCCTACAACGTGCTGGACGACCCGCAGCTCCGGCAAGGTCAGGCCGCCGGCGTCTGGGGCGCGGGCGCCGCGCGCCCTGGGGTGGCCGCCCGCCCTCCCCCACCCCACGAGCCGAAAGAGGCGTTTCTGGCCCGCGCGGCGAGGGCCGCGGCCCGTCTGCGCTCTGCGGGGCGCGGGCCCCCTCGGGCTGCCTGCTCGCCTGGACGGGCCGCGCCTGCCCTCGCCTGGGGCCGGCGAGGTCGGAGCCGGCCTCCCGGGGCCTCCGGTGCTGCGCTTCGGGGGCGTCGCGTCTCGGCCGGCAGCTCGCGGGGCCAAGGTGCTGGAAAGGCCGGTGGGCGCGGGAATGGCCGCTGGGGCCCCGACTGGCTCCCGCTTGGCGCCCGAGGAGCCCGAGGGCCGGGCCGGGGCTGACCGCGGGGCCGGCGGCTGCTCACCAGCCCGGGAGGCGCAGGGAGGCCCGCCAGCTGGGGAGCGGGTCCGTGCAGAGCCCCAGACCGAGCACCTTCCGTGCAGCGCCCCGCGATCCGCGCCGAGGGGGGGGGGAGCAGGAGGCCTGGAGAGCGGGGGCCGCCCCTTGACTAGGGTCGCCGGAGAAATGAAGCGGCTGTGCTGGTCCCCCCGCCCCCACCTAGAAACCCCGCTTTGCAGGTGGAGAGGGTCACTGCCTGGTCCTGGCTTCCAGCCCCTTGGCCTGGTGCTTCTGCTGCCTTAGACTGTGTGAAAGCCTGAAGGCACAGGCTCCGCAGCCTGCTCTGTGTTCAGAACTTTGCCGCTTGCCCCGCTGCCGTCGGGCTGTCACTGCCTGTGAAGCGCCCAGTCATCGCCACCCCCGTGCTGTGCCACCGGCCGGTGACCTGTAACGGCTTGGGGGTGGAAATCCCTTGGACGCCAGTGAGCTGTGCAGCTGCGGGCAAGTCGCGGCAAGAGGTGCATTTTCCTTTCTAGCACAATGAGATAATGAGTTGAACCTGCCAAGGTTTTCTAGAAAAAAGAGAAAACTTGTTGAAAGTGCTTACCATCTCATCTGGCATGCAGAGGGCACCCCCTGAATGTTGGCTGTGGTGCTGTTAGCACTTTATGACGCCGAAGTACTTTTCCCACATTATCGAATCCTGTCAAAACTTTTTATTTGTGTGGGTGGACAGGAGGAGCCGTGGTGAAGGTTGGTCAGTGCTCCTGGGGGTGTGTGGTGGAACCTCATGTCCTGTGAATGTTCTTTGCCTCCAGGTCAACTCAGTGGTCACCAGTTGCCAGGCGCTGGGATGTTTCACTGTACAAGGGTCTGCAGTCTCCACCGAAGCTGCCTCTGGGCTTCAAAGATAAGATAAACTACTCTGCAGTCTCGCCTGGGACCTCAGTCAGGCCCCCTGCAAATTGCCAGGGCGACCAGTCGCGTTGCTGCTGTGTCACTGTCGTTGCTGTCTCACGTTTGGCAGTGTTGAAGCGATGGTCGTGGGTTGTGAATTCTGTGCGCTTGTTTAATGTCACCCGAGATGGAACATGGCTGTGTGAGCTGAAAGAAGGGGCAGAAAGGAGAATGTTTGCTGAGCTCTTACATTTTTCCCTTAAATTTCTTGACCTTTCAGTTTCATCAGATGGTTGCTTTGGTTATGGGTGTGTGGTGTGCATGTTGAAAAAGCCAGCGGTGGCGACAGTATTGACATTTCCGTCATGGAGAGCGGCGTTTGGGGTGAATGACCATCAGCCTGTTGTTGAATGTTGATAAAGCATGAAAACATGCTCAGCCTGCGCAGTAGCCAGCAGCCTAAGGAAACACTAAAACACATAGGGCACTGGCAGATGTTAAAAGTCAGAGAAAGCAAGTGAGCGGGGTATGGGGGACTGGAGGGGAGGATGTGCTGTGCTCCAGATGGGAGCATAAAGTGGTCCCCAGCATTTTGGAGGTGTAACTGTCATCGGTACCCAGGCAGGTTGAAGGTGAACCTAATTCATTCCTGGGTCAGGGGAGGTTGTGTGGGCAGATTTCCCCTGTAAAGGGCCAGAGAGTAATGCTCAGGCTTTGTGGGCCCTGTGGTCTCTGTTGCAACTGCTCAGCTCAGGGTTTGGGTGAAAGGCCATCGGGGACAATACAGGAATGAGTGTGACTGAGTTCCAGTACAGCTTTATTTACAAAAATAGGAATTGGACTGGGTCGGGTCTGAAGGCCATGGTTGGCCACTCCTTGGTCTAGAGAGAGCGAGGGCGTGAATTAGGAGGAGTGTGAGGACGTTTGCTGAGCATTGCTTGTCCTAAGGAGACCTTGGCAAGACAGGTCTTGGTCTGTCTAGTGGACTAGAGAGACAGTGGCTCAGTCATAGGGTGGAAAATTGAATTTCAGCTAAATGTGACCTTTAGTCAAAAAGTTGTAAGAAAGTAATGATGGCCTAATGCCCTTTATGTAGGTAAAGGCTAAAGATGTGACATCCTCCCAGATAGTATAGCTACAGGAGTAGCTCATGGGCAGGCGCCAGATGCCCGCACCCTCAGCTGGTTGAGATCCTGGCCTGTGGACTTGCGGAAACCTGGATGCAAACCCGGCTCCTCTGCCAGCAAGCACTGTGACTTTGGTTATGCTGTTTAACTTGCTGAACGTTGGTTTCTTCATCTGCAACCTAGGGAGCTTTATAAAAACCAAATGAGATTCTTCGGGTAAAACGAGAGTCTGAAACTCAGTGACCCTGAGCTCAGTACGTGCCCTTGTCCACTGCCTGGCTCGCTTGCTTACTTGGTGTCTGCCCTACATTTGTTCCCTGCACTTTCTCTCTCGCATGTATTTCTCAGAAAAGCAATGCTGAAGGGGTGGGGTGGACTCTGAAGTGGAGCGAGTGTCCACTTGCACCGGGCACTGTGGGAGGTCCCTCATTTTACCCAGTTTGTCTCCTTTTATCTTCATGATGAGCATGAGCATGGAGAGCTCCCCTTTTTGCAGATAAGGAAGGTGAGGCTCAGTGATGAGCAGATTTAGCGGAGGCTCCATTTTCAAGCTAGCAAGCCCCAGCTAACTGTCCCTGACGCCAGCCAGTGCCACCGCGCTTTGCTTTTCTCTGCTGAGGATCTACTATTTTGCACTTTAGACTCAGGTGATCGCAGGTGGTCTGAATGGTCCACTCTGTTAGGGCAGGGGAAGAAATGTGTGGCTTCCAGAGGTCGTGTGACTTCCCAGGGCATGGAGCCTAGATGCCTTCCAGGTCTACCTGACCTCCCGCGGGGAAACTCTACCGGGGAAAAGGAAGACCGGAATTCTGGCACTCTTGGAGCTTACTGGCCAAGCATGAAGCCTGAATGTGGCGAGTTTTGAAAATACCTTTTAAAATTTCTGGAAGGGAATTGCTGGCACATTTCCTCCACTCTGGGCTGGTAAAGGTTCGGCGCAGTCTGCTGTTGGGCAGTGGGTGTTCATAGACCTGACTTCGTGAGGGCGGCCCCGGGTCCACTCCCTGCTGCTGCTCGGTTACGTGACCGTGCAGTCAACACTCTCTGCTCCGCGTCTCACCACTGTCTCATCTGTAAAACGCTGTTATCATTAAAATACATTACTGGGGATGGCTGTTTAATTGTCAAGCCGCTCTCTGATTCTGGGTTATTCCAAGTGGTATTTGTAAGGACGATCACATATATCGCAGCTTTTGAAAATTAAAGATGTGCGTGAAATTGGCCATGCATGAAGAATTTGTTATGAATTGATGGTTACATTTTCATTTCGACTTGTGACCAGTGGCCTTTTTTCTTGAAAGTTTCTCATTTCACGCTACAGAAACAAGTTGCCTATTTCCTCAAATACTTAAAGTCAGACTTTTTTTTAAAAACGGAAAATAGCATGTTTTTTAAGAAACTTACCAAAGCTTAGTCTTGCTATCAGCTGCCTGTAACACTTGTTAATTTAAATAGTGGGTAAATTTGATGTGTTAAGCCCCCAGCTGGCAGGCACCCCGGAGGCTGTCAGCACATCACGTGGGGCCCTCGCTGGGCAGCGGGGAAGGGCTGGTCTCCCTCATGCTAAGAGTGAGCCGAAAGCTCACTCTCTTGGTAGTGAGGATGGATTCTCGGGTCCCCTCCTCCTTCTAATCAGGACTGCAGTCTGCAGCCACGTAAGGTTTAATGAATGAGGCAGGGCTAGTGCGTGGAGGGAGCGTGGCACAGCACCCCAGTTCTTCTACTCACACACACACACACACACACACACACACAAATGAACAGTGAGGGCAACTCATGCTTTTACTCAGCGAAGAGTTGGCCGAAAAATTATATGTTTTAGGTTTAAATGTGTGGTTTTGGGTAGCCCTCCGGCAGCAAATTAATTTTCCTTTTTGCTAAGTTTAGTTGTGGAACCAGTAGATGCCTCTTGCCATGGAAAGTTAACATGTGTGTTATTAGTTGGGAAAAAACAAGCTGTAATAATATGCACTAAAATAGTTCATGCTCATCAATGTAAAGGATATTTAAGGACATTTAGAAGAATGCAAAGAAGTTCCTATTGAAGCATTCTTAATTCCCACACTTGCCCTCAGTCATCAGAAAAGCAAGAAAAGATTTGTGACTGTCATGGTAAAGTAAGTTCTGAAAGACTTTATATTTGAGAAGACACACACACACACCCTCACACTTCCATGCTGAGTAACGGTGGTTTATGTAGCACCAAGCACGGAGGAGACACTTGACCTCGGCGGTGGCCCTCGTCTCTAGGTACCCATGGCCGAGACATTCTGAGGGTGAACAGGACCCGTTGTTGGTGACCCCACACCTGTAGCTGGCTGTTGTTAACAGCACCAGAGTGGCCTGGAGGGCGCGCTGGGGGCCGCTAGCTTCAGCTGTGGAGTCTGGAGAAGAAAGATAAAGCTGAGAGTGCCCCGGCACCTTCAGGTTATAGCCCGGAGCTTAGCAGGCAGTGCCTGTTAAGAGAGAAAAGCACTCTGTCTCCGGAGCCTGGGTTCGGATATAATTCAAATTGGTAATTTGACTGGAAAATAAATGCTGGGGTATCAAGAACAAGTTTTTGAATGTTTACGTATTTACATAAAGGCCAATGCTGGCTGACGTGCTCGCAGAACAGGGTGTCTTGTTTGAAGAGTCTGCTGACTTTTCTGTGTGTTTACTTGTACGCGTGTGTTGGTCATTTCAACACCTCTTCCTCTCTCCGTGATTGTAAAACATCAGTTGGAATTACCATGCGATGTGGACCCGCCTCAGGTTTCCACTCCGCCGGCAGCCGGTGTAGGGCGGATCGGCTGGAAGGTGCATTTGTCTCGGCGCCCAAGTACACAAGGAAGCAGCTGGAAGGGTCAGCTTCAGGTCTTAAAATTAAACCCCGATTCTTCCCTGTTGTTCTGTTGGCCCCATCAATCTCGGGGCCCAGGAGCACGGCAGAGCGTAACCACGGGGCTGCGCTGTCACAGCCTGAGCCTCCTCTGTCCGCAAGGCCCGCCCAGAAGAGCAGCGTGGATGTCGCTCCTCCGAGGCCCGTGCCTGACTCAGGACAAAGGCCTTGAGCTTCAGGCCCTTCCTTGCTTCGGCCCATCACCGAGCTCCGTGCTGATGCCGGCTGCGGCCCACTGGGAAGGGGGTGGGGGCGTCTCTCCCCAGGAAGGGGATTGCTCTCTGGGTAAAATGGTTGAGGATAAAAACCAGTGGCCCATTCTGGGAGCAGGAGTCACTGGTGGCCGTGACCACCCGGACGGGTACCGAGGGCGCGGGGGGACCGTCTGGCCTCAGTGAGTTGGCAGTGGGGCCACGTGCAGTAGCCCGTTTGGAAAAGGACGTTGCGGCCTCCGCGCTCCTCCGTTCGGTTCGCCGCAAGCGTGGCTGGTAACCGCGTGGAGATGGCTGCCTGTGTCTTCTGTGACCCGACCTGGGTCCAGTGTCGGGTGTGTGGGTCTTGCATGGGAGCGAGGCTTGCTCCCCTGCCCCTCCTGAGCTGTGCCCAGGTGGACTAAGCAGCTACAGCCGGAGGCCTCCCAGTCTGTCACGGGGAAGGCTAAACTCACGTTCTGTGTAGCAAACACTTTCTTGTCCCAAGAATGGAGGGGAGGAGGGGGGTAAACAGACACACCTTGCCCCAGAGCTCAGCTTTGGCCGCCGTGCGCTAACGCTCAGTGCTCTGTCCCCACAGGCATCAAGGACTACTCCAACTGGCCCACCATCCCGCAGGTGTTCCTCAACGGCGAGTTCGTGGGCGGCTGTGACATCCTCCTGCAGATGCACCAGAACGGGGACCTGGTGGAAGAACTGAAAAAGCTGGGGATCCACTCTGCCCTTTTAGACGAAAAGAAAGACCAAGACTCAAAGTGAGGGCGCCTGGGCCCCCCGGAGCCGCATGCGGAGCTGCAGGAGGGGCCGAGGGGCCGGGGACTCACCAGCGGAGGCCGCCCGGCCTGAGTGCCCTGCTCAGACCCCTGCTGCCCTGACTGCCCGTTTGCCCCAGTTGGGTGATTTCCGTGTGTCCTGTGTTCGGCTTCAGAAGATTCGATTGTGGACTTTTCTACTATAACCACTGCACTCTGCTGATCCAGTGTCGGCGATGATGTGGCTAACAGATCTGTGCTTATGTTGTCACTTGCCCTTTGCCTGATTCAGGAATAAAACTAGGAGATTTTGAATCATTAGTATCCACGACTCCTCTGCAGTTGCGTCAGTCTGCAAAGAGAGCGCCTCCCCTCAGCCCCTCAAATTTTTGTAACTTGTTTTTCCGTTAAGAAAAATGATAGGGGAGAAAATGTGGCAATTGGGGTGTGTCTTTTAAAATAAAATGCCAACACGGGCGCTGTGTGTGGGTTGTTAATTCTGAGCAGCAATAAATCTGTCGTCTTCTGTTCGACCTGCTAGAATAAAATACCACAGGCTGGCCGCCTTGTAAACTGTAGCAATTTATTTCTTATAGTTCTGGAGGCTGGAAGGTCAAGATCAAGGCGCTGTCCTCCAGGTCCTCGTGAGGCAGTTCTGTGGCGACCATTTTGTGAGGAAATGGAGCTCACGTGACCTAACCCCCCCCCCCGAGGCCCTGGGGGTTTGTGGGAGCACAGATACTTAGTCGACAGCAGATGTGTAGATGTTGAACTTTTGTTTTTCGGAAGAGTGATTCTGATACTCTTCTGTTAAAACTCCCTAAAAATTGCCATTAAGCCATGCCCCAGTCTCTCAAGAGGACGGAACCACTGAACACTTGAGTGTGGCTGACGTCCACTTGGCTTGGGTACTAAGCCAGAGGCCAGGTCGGGGAGGCCAAAGGAGGCCCCTCCCACCCCTGTCTGAGGACCTGTGCTTGACTCACTTCACTGCATATGAACAGACGTCGTTCCTGGTCTCTCAGGTGAGATCTGGCGAGTATTTCATTTCTTCAAAAATAGGGTAGGGCTCTCATAAAAAACAAACAGTGGGAAGTATGGCCGAGATCCTTCCCGTATGTGGTCTCCTTGTAAGATCCAGAGCCTGTCTCCATCCTGAGGCAGTGGTGTGATGGAGCAGGAGTTCCTCCTAGCTGTTCTGGAATCCCGGAAGCCTTCATTCCTTTCCAGCATCTGTTTAAACAGCTTCTGTGCAGTGGCAAGGGGAGCAGGCAGAAGTGACAGGGAGGAAGGTTTCTTCCCTCAGAGCTGCTCGAGGCCTTGTTCTATGTTGGTTATTCAATCTACTTGAGTTAGTCTAGGAAAGCTTGGGAGGTAGACAGCATGGTAAAGACCAACATTAAAAATACACAAAAAGAGGGCCTCCCTGGTGGCCTAGGCTTTAAGTCTCACTGCTACCACCGCGACAATCCTCCCTTGGCAAAACGGCCTGAGTTCCATCCCTGGCCAGGGAGCTGACCCACAGGGCGCAGCAGACCACACCTGTCTCGCCTGCTGCTCCCCTCAGCAGTGTATTTCAGTAGATCTGCCTGTTCTGCTCCCTACTCTGTCTCTGCTGAATTCTCTCAGCCCCTGCCCCTCTGCCTACACCCCAGTTCTTCCATGCGAAAATAAAAAGGACCTCCCCGGTGGCGCAGCGGTTGAGCGCTGGGTTGCGAAGCTGCCCGCAACCTCTGCAGCGCCGGTTTGATCCCCGGCCACTGGAGGAGGGTCCCACATGGCGCGCAGACCTCTCCTGCCGCCCGCTGCTCCCCTCAGCAGTGTACTTCGGTCCTTCTGCCTGTTCTGCTCCTCACTCTGGCTCTGGTGAATCTTCTCACCCTCCTGCACTTGACTGTACCCAGTGCTTGTATAAATAAATCAATCTTTACTAAAATAAATGAAAATTTTACAGTAAAGAAATAATTTTTTTTTTTAAGATTTATTTATACAAGAACTGGGGTACAGGCCAGATGTGCGGGAGGGTGAGAGGATTCACCAGAGACAAAGCAGGGAACAGAACAAATACACCGCTGAGGGGAGCAGTGGGCGCAACAGGAGAGGTCTGCTGTGCCATGTGGGTTTCTCCCTGGCCGGCCGGGATCGAATCCATGCTGCAGAGGCTGCGGACAGAGTCACCGTGCGGTTCTCAACTGCCTGTGCCTCCAGGGTGGCCCAGGAATAATTCTTTTAATTAAAAAAAATTACACTAAAAGATTAAAAAAAAAAAAGCTGATCTGCTGGGGCATTTTGTCATGGCTGATCCTGCCCCATCCCTCCCCGGAAGGTTTGGGATTCCCAAAGGAAACTGAAGATGCATCCCCACCCCCAATTCTCTGGTAATCACAGAGCTCGGAGGCTTCAGGAAACAGAAAAGTAGATTATTCTCAAAAAGGGTTTTCTATTACACTTCACCCCATTGAGTTCTCCCACCTGGCCTAAGCTGGGAGCTCACGTGAACCCCGGAGGAGGTTAGCACTCGCCCATCTGAATCCTGTTTTGCAGATGAAAGCAAGGGCCCTGGAAGGCGGCTGCGTGCTGGCCTGTGTTGCTCCACTCAGCGACCCAGCCAAGGTCATGGCCTTGTCCTTTGGAAGGAATACTGTTAGCCAAGCACTTTGTACTGTCCCTGGACGAGACTGGGTTGCAGGGTGCATGCAGCCTGTGTGGTGTGTGGTGACTTTTGGCTTCTCCTGAGATCTGCCTATGCACACTTTGGGCTCATCTGAAAAAGGAAGTGATGAGAAACTTACTAGCAGAGAAATACCAGCGAGACGAGACCCTCCTTGGAAGGCTGGTACAGGAGAGCGCTGCCCAGGGAGGCACTTGCGGTGCTTGTGAATCAGGTCACGTGCCAGTCACCAAACAGCTTGAGAGTTTGAGGAATCACGAGCTCAACCAGCAGTGGAAGTGTTCTTTCCAGAAGTTAATTAACATTTTTCCCTACATACTTAGCAAGTCTGTACCAAGTGGAAAATTGAAGATGCTATCTTATGCCAGCCTGAGTAACTGGGCTGATGTGCATAATTAGAGTTCACTGTGATACTCGGCACAGAGACTCCAGGTCCCCTGAATGACAGTGGTGTCCACGGCATGTCTTTAAAATGCAAGGTGGCTGCACCGCCGGCGAGTCCCTTGGGCTGGCATTGCAATTTACTGGACCTCTGTCACCACGTCAAAGCACTGTCGTCAGACCCTCGGGAGTAGACGGACTTGTTCGAGAAGATTAAACGTTTGCATTTCAGGTAGTTTTTCTTTCCTCAGTTGGTAGTTAGGTAAATGTTACTTTCCCTTTAGGCGAGGAGTTTGGGGAGGTGTTTGAGGAAAGCAGATAACTCTCAGGAAGTCTGTCAAGTTTCTTATCGTTTGCAAGCAAACGTTTGAAATCAGGCTTCCCTTGGATTACGAAGGCCTCAACAGCGGTCGTGGCTCACTCAGAGGTTTGGAGACAAGTAGCGTCTTGCGTGGCCAGGTTCCTGGTTTTCTGTCACAGGGAGGCTGTTCTGGGGCGCGGGGGAAGGTTCTAGATGGGGTGATGCTGATTTAAGCCTGACTTCATTCCTGAGTATCACCAGCAGGAAAAAATGGATATGGGTAAACAGTCACCCCAAAAGTTCTTACAGGTTTTTATTTCATATTTCAAGAATTGTGTAGTAAATCTAAAATATCACTAAGTTATAGCGTGAGTCAGCTGGTTTGACGGAGGGTGACAGGGAGAGAAGCCACTTGTCCCTGTTTTTTTTTTTTAAATAATAAATTTTATTGTTATATTCCCCATACAATTGCAGCCCCCCCATTCTGACCCCAATCCCTCCCCTCCCGCTCCCGCCCCCCTAAAAGTGTCTCTGGTTCATAGTTTTTTGTTGATTTTGATTTTCACTTTCTTAAAGTTATTCATTTTCCTGGTCCCTTATTTAAGTTTTCTAGATTCCTGCTATGAGTGAGACCATCCGGTATTTTTCTTTTTCTTTTTGGCTTATTTCGCTGAGCATGATCCCTTCCAGCGCCATCCATGTTGCTGCAAATTGCATGTGTTTATCTTTTTTGAATGCTGAGTAATATTCCATGGTATATATGTACCACATCTTCTTGATCCAGTCATCTATTTTTGGGCATTTGGGTTGTTTCCAAAGCTTAGCTATTGTAAACAGTGCTGCTATAAACATAGGGTTGCAGGTGCTCTTTGGAATTGATGTTTCTGTGTCCTTTGGGTAAATACCTAGGAGTGGAATTGCTGGATCATATGGAAGTTCTATGTTTAGTAGGTCCAGAAATCTCCACACAGCTCTCCATAGTGGTTGGACCAGTTTGCACTCCCACCAACAGTGCAGGAGAGTTCCTTTTTCTCCACACCCTCGCCAACATTTGTTGTTGCTAGTTTTTTTAATATGTGCCATTCTCACTGGTGTGAGATGGTATCTCATGGTAGTTTTGATTTGCATTTCCCTGATTACAAGTGATGTTGAACATTTTTTCATATGCCTGTTGGCCATTTGCATTTCCTCTTCAGAGAAGTTTCTTTTTAGCTCTTCTGCCCATTTTTTGACTGGATTATTTTCTTTGTTGTTGTTGAATCTCATCAGCTCTTTGCAGATTTTGTGATCAGTCCTTTATCATTAGTGTTGGGTGCAAAAATGTTCTCCCAGTTGGTGGGGTTTCTCTTTGTTTTTGTTATTGTCTCTTTTGCTGTGCAGAAGCTCTTTAATTTGATGTAGTCCCAGCTGTTTATCTTCGCCTTCACTATCACTGCTTTGGGTGATGTGTCTGTAAAGATGTCTTTGATGTGCAAATCACATAGTGTTTCGCCTATATTTCCTTCTATATATTTTATGGTTTCAGGTCTTATGTCTAGTTCTTTAATCCATTTTGAGTTGATTTTTGTGTATGGTGTGAGGTAGTGGTCAAGCTTCATTCTTTTGCATGTAGCGACCCAGTTTTCCCAGCACCATTTATTGAACAAACTTTCTTTGCTCCAATGCATAGTCTTTGCTCCTTTGTCAAAGATTAGTTGACCATAAATCTGTGGGTTTATTTCTGGATTTTCTATTCGATTCCATTGGTCTGTATGTCTGTTCTTGTTCCAATACCATGCAGTTTTGATGATTATGGCTTTGTAGTATAGTTTGAAGTCTGGGAGTGTGATGCCTCCATTCCCTTCTTTTTTTTTCAGGAGAGCTTTGGCTATTCGGGGTTTTTTGTGATTCCATATGAATTTCATCAATAATTGTTCTATTTCTTTGAAGAATGACATTGAAATTTTGATTGGAATAGCATTGAATCTGTATATTGCTTTTGGAAGGATGGCCATTTTAATAATGTTTATTCTTCCAATCCATGAGCAGGGGATGTCTTTCCATTTCTTTGTGTCTTCTTCTATTTCTTTTAACAGTGTTTTATAGTTTTCTTTGTATAGGTCCTTTACCTCTTTTGTTAGATTTATTCCCAAATATTTGATTTTTTTTGTTTCAATAACAAAAGGGATGGTTTTTTTTATTTCTTCTTCAGATTTATTGTTTGT